TATTTTCTTTCTACTGCCTATTTTCCATGCACTCTACTGGTACGCCCCATGCCCCCAATTTTGGAAAACATTGTTATGAAGTAAATTCATCATAAAGAAGGACTAAACATAATAACAAGCAAGTTAATCTTCCTGTACCACCTCAAACATGTGTACATGTTCATGTATTTTAAGTTTCCAATTCAAAATATTTTGTCTTTAATTAAGCCAAAGTATCCATTGTCTACATATTATGAATATTTGCAAAAACGCAACTTAATGAGAATAATTTCAAGGAGCCATATCTCAAAAGTTCATAGTATGGGGATAGTATGGGGATATTCTTAATATTAAACTTTTTGGGTATCAAAAGTAAATTATTGATTCATAATCTTCAAAGAAGGGATTTCATCTAGTAGGGATTTGTGTATGTATGGGAAGGTCTGCATTAGAAAATTTCATCAATTTTTATCTCAATTTTTATCTTCCAATTAAAAGTTTCTTCTTTAAAAAGCAGTAGGACTGTTAAATAATAAGATTGGCCCAATTTGTGATCATTTGCTTTCATTTAATCCTCACAAACAGCTCCATGAGTAAGGTCAGTTATAATATTCATTTTGCAGATGAGAAAATTGAGGGGCAAAGAGTTTAGGGTCATTGTTAGTTTATTCTCTTTCACACAAATTCTTAATGATACCTAATTTACCCTGTAAAGTTATTTCAGGAAATTACTGCAATATCAAATTAGAAATTGCATTTTGTTTCATAGAGCGTTAAGTATTAAATATATTTTGTTATGATTATTTGAAAACTGGTTACTCTGCAGGCCAGTTTACTTTCAGATAATCTGAGCAATCAGAATGCTCCACTAATTGATCAAGCCAGATGACAGAATCCAGGCCATGGCCACGGTAACCTCTTTTTTCACACTGTGTCCCATTGTATGACCTATTAGCTAGCAACCTTTTTTTACAATTCTTTACTCTCATATAGTATTTCTCAGTAGGTGCTACTAGTATTTGGAGAAAGAATTCTCATTTTTGCCGGGAGTATATCACTTTGCAATGCCTTGCGCCTTCCCCTCACTAAACACTGAAATGCCTTTCCCAGTCACAATTTGGAGGTCTCCTTAAGTGGGAAGGTACCACAACGTTGAGAACCACTGCGCTAGGAAGAGATTCAAGATCACTCAAAAACTGGAAACTCAAGTATTCAAGTTT